TCGTTGTGCGCCACGAGAGTCCAAGGCCGTGTCGTTCGGAGCCCTGGTATTTGACTCCCAGACGATGCAGACAGCGATGTTCGCTGTACGGAGTCGCGAGCCGTACGCGGTACTCGACCCCGATCAGACCGTTCAGACCCTAATGTCGCCGTGCATGAAACGGAAAAGTGGGATCGTGTGAAGACGAGTCAACAAGAGCAGCCTGACAGGTACCCAGAGATGCCTCACCAATTATGCGTGCATGGCTCTCCTCTCTCCCCCTTCGTCCCTACTCTGCAAGGTTCTAATGCGCAAGGACCACCTCGGCATGCGCCCCTAGCACCGTCGCTGTCTTATCCACATCGGTGAACCAGCCTGTTTCTGTGCCATTGTTATCGATCATCATAAGCGAGTGCGGAGCAAGTGCAGTATTCGACACATGAAAGAGCAATTGATGACCGTTTGCCCACATTTTGCCCCTCCAGTCCTTATCCACCAAAGCCTCCCCGAGGTACTTTTCAGCCAGCGACTGGGTGCTAAGAATGGCCCTGATTTTTGCTCTCTCCTGAACTGTTCGGTTCCGAGTAAACCAAAACTTCGATGCAGTCTGTTGCGGAACCGCGGACCTGTACTGGAAGCTGTTAAGCTTCTCAATAAGGACTGTCTGCAGCATACGTTGTTTCCAAACGTCCTGTTCGGGGTACCTAATCTGCACTCTACAGAAGCTACATCTGACATAGGGCACGAAGACCCTGTCAAGGAGAGCCGGTGCGTTCATCTGTTCGAACATGTTTGACGTCCTGCTCGATGTCATCACGCCTAGCTTCAGTCCACCCACCTATGACCAGTTGCAGTTCATCGATTTTAGGTTGCCCATCAAACAAGGGACTGTTGCTGTCAGCATAGCCAACGCCAGCCTTCGATGTCACCATAACGCTTCGGCCAGCAGTAGGAGTAGAGTTCCTGAGAGCCTGCAATTCTCTTTCCAGTTCTTGCATCTGCCTGCGCATCTGTGCAAGTGATTCGTCATGTTCGTTGGCCTTTCTTTCAAGCCGCTCCTGTCCGTAGATGAATTCTGGAGATTCGCTTGCAGCCCTCGAAGGTCCCGGCTCGTCGCAGACGTTTGCTCAACCATCTCTCTCTGAGAAATAGTTAGCGCCCTGAGTTCTTGATGAAGTGTGCCCAGCCAAACAGGCTCATCAAGCAAGAAATGTTGTGGGCCTTGGGCCGTTTTGGGCGGAGTTACATTCGACTGGGCACAGGGAGTTGGGGTGCGACCATGAAACAGAGGCGGGGCATGTGATAGGGCCGGAGCTGTCACGGATTGCTGGCCTACGTCCCCGAATTGCGGCATTTTGCTACTGACTTTCTGTTTCTTCTCAGGACTCTTCTTTCTTTCTTTCTGCAGGGCGTAGGGGTGTCCAGCGACCCTCAGGCCTTCGGCCCGCCCGGCTTACCCACTGTGTTAGTGAGTGGCCGGCCTTGGGGTTACTCCTGAGTGTGGTTACTACCTACCTTGTGTGCCCTTGGTTGTCATGCAGCAAGCCCCACCCTGTACGCTAGAACCCCCCGCGTCCCGGCCTCATCCCCGCGCCCCTGTGGCTAGCCAGCATTACAACCCGTTCCGTGGGGCTTGCTTGGTGCATGCTTTACCGTGTGGCACGTGTGGCGGTTCAGGGCAGCACTGCTGACAACGAAACCAGTTGCAACTACATCATGATACTGTGTTCCCCTGTGACCGAAGGTCCCTCCCTTTTCGGGTTGGCAAAAAGAAACTGTGCTGGGGTGGCTTTTCTCCCCCTATGCCTTTCCCTGCGTTACTGTCCCCTATGGTTGGGGGCCGAGTTGCATGCCACGGGGCCTGTGGGGAAAGAAAACTAACATGGCTGCGAAACCAAGGACCTGTGTGTTCTCCCCCGTGGCATGTGACTACTCGCAGGACCGTCGTGACACGTGTTGGGGTTCCACTCTTGAGGCCTCATGCACAGCGAAACATCAGCTAAAGACTCGACTAGCTGCCATTACAGGAGCCCCAGGCCTCGGCTACTCAAGCGGTGTCCCCTTGTTCTGTTCGCCACTGCTTGGGTTCCCGGTGAGCGCTGGTTACATGCCGAAGGAACAACAAGGTACGATCATGTGATGCTAGTTCACCTCGCTCCCCGGTTCCCCCGCTGTGCGAGTGTTTGAAAAGGTCGCAGTCTCTGTGGGTCCCCGGCTAGTGGTGGCAGCGGGCTAGGAGAGAGCAACGGTGCAAGTGCAGACTACTGGACAGGCCTAGCCAAGACAACACACTCTCTCCTCACTCACTCTCCCCCGGTCCTGCTGCACTGCGGAAGCCAAAGCTGCCCTTTGCTCGCTCAGACCCGTTACTCAGCTGTAAGTACCCCCACCCTAACTCACTGTCGAAACCGCAGGCCTAACTCAGTCGTCTTGGTCTAGCGAGCTAGGGTTAGTGAAGCGCCGGCGTGGCTCAGGTGAGGCGTGTCGTTGGTGCTCAATCCTCCGTCGCCCCGCAGCAGCCGCAGCGGTTGTAGGCGTCGTGGAGGTTCTGGCCGCCGTGGCCCCATCGTCGTCGTTTGCGAGTTCGAGGTGCTCCCCCGTCCCCCAGTAGCTCTGGGCCCATGTGTCGAGGTCGTGCAGGGCCTTCTTGAGGAGTTCCAGCAGCTCCCCCGTGAGAAAGGGCAGCAGTGCCCGCAGCTGTTTGCGCGCCCGGAAGATCAGCAGGCCGTCCGGTTGCACGTGTGGAGGTCGTTGTTCGGAGGCTCCCCCATGTAGTGAGCATGCACGCGCTCAGCTTCCCCCTTGTGTGGGTAACTCCCCACGAGGACCTCCACTCCGTCAGCGGCCGCCTCCAGCATGTTTCGTAGTTGCCCCAGCTCCATGTTCCCCACTGGGTAGGAGGCGATCATTGCTTGGAGCTGCGCTTCTGCTTCTTCCCCCGCGTCCGTGGCGTCGTGGGTTCGCTGCCAGTTGCTGGAGCGTAAGCCCCCCCACAGCAGCGCTTGCCCGCTTTGCGTAAGCTCCATGACCTCAGCAAGTTCCCCCTCCGTTGGCGGGTCACCTTGGGCAGCTCTGTCATCTAAGATCCCCGTCATGAGCGCGGCGATCTGGAACGCGTTTGGGGACGGAGGGGGGGTTCTCCCCCTTCTGCCCACATTGCCGTCTGAGGCAAGGCTGAGGCTAGTGGCTGCGGCCGCCAGGTGTGCCTGTACTCCGTAGAGTTCAATGGAGCGTGCTAGCTCCATGGCTTCGAGGATGTGTTCTGCTGCCGCTGCTGCGCCTGTGGCCGCTTTGCTCCCCGTCACTCTTTCTGCCCCCTGCGCTCTGCGGTCGCGGATGTGCGGGTCTGGGGCTTCTGGCTCTTCCTGTGCTTGTTGGGCCGCTGCCAGTGTCTCTTCGGTGATGCTCCGCATGAGGTCTGTTGCTTGGTGTCTTGCCTTCTTGAGGGGGCTGTCAGTGGAGCTGGCTGCTTGCCCCCGTTTGCGGTCTTCTTCCTGCTGCTGGAGCCACGGCAGGAGGTCGGGGTCTTCTTCCTCTGTCGTGTTCCCTGCGGGTGCTGTGGCTTGTAGGCTGGGTGTTCTCGCCGACGCCGCATGTCAGGACTCTTCTCTCTCTCTCTCTCTCTTTGCTGCACTGTCGACGCCCAAGGCCGCCGTTAATGCCTCCGCAGCTATGGCTGCATCCCTAAGCATCTGTTCGATATAATCAGGCAAGTCAAGCGCTTGTGCTTCTACATGTGTTCGTACATGGCCCCGCCGCGGCGTCTCAACGGTTGCATGTGCCCCCGCCCCCCCCACAACCAACAACCCATGGCGTTTATCGGCGCCTCTGCCACCTGGCCAAGTTTCTCGGCACCTTGTTCTGTAATGTCCACATTCACGGCCTTCATCCGGCTCCGTCCTGTTTTAGATGCTGGGTTGTCACCATCGACATGGTAGAGGAGCAAGGAAGGCAGTGCAAGGCAGTGCAAACGACAGGACAGTGCAGGGTTTAGGCTCTAGTGCTTAGGGTATTTTTTTGACGCTCACACTCGGACAAAGCCTGGCAAGGTCTGCAGCGACACTGGTCTTCCTCGTTAACCGGCTATTCGGAGGTGTCACCGAAACGCCACTTTACCCGACATCCATCCAACGAGTTTTGTCGGACAAAATGTCACACTGTCAATCATGATGTACTCGTAAGCCAGACACAAGTGCACAAGCGTAGATCCTCCAACATCATGTTGACAGCAGACCACCACCAAGAACAACAGGCTACACCCCACGCAGACGAAGTCGGGGCGGCCCCGTGAAACGAGCTCTCATCCATACGACGGGACTTCACGGAAAAACAACAGACGATAGAGTAGGTAAACGACATAACAAATGTAAGTCTAATCCCGCAAGGAGTGTGTCTTCAAATCCTACAGACTTCATCTTCGCTCATGCACTGGCTTCAGAGGCTGCCCCACATGCATGCAAATGCTTAGGGTATTGCGGCGCTCACACACGGACAATCCAGGCGAGGAGGGTACTTAGGGTTTACGCTTGAGGGTTTAGGGTGTAAAAACGGTCCAAGCACAGACTGGTAAGCAAGAGTAAGCTCATCATTGTCGTCCTGCGGGTCGTCCAAGTGGGGTAGTAAGGGATGCAGCAGCCCAGCGGCATCCAGGTTCCCGCAGAGGTTCCGATCTACGGGAAGGCATATCATCACCTAAGGGCATTCGATCCCTCGCTCCATGACCACAAAGAACTGTAGTGGAACATTGGGGGCCGGAAGAAACTAGTCGGATTTTATATGTGATATGTTCTGTCTACATCAGGATGACTACAAATGATGGCGTCTTTGTGCATCCTACTTTTCTCTTGCTGCATCCCTTAACCCAAACCCAAGTCCTCGCCTGAGCTTGGAACCTCTTGAAGAAGCTCATGTCCAACATGCCAGGCTTGGTCGACGAGCCGTTGCCGTGCTTGGTATCATACCTTTTTTGGGCTGGTTTTGGTTGGGTCGGGCATCAGCATATCCATCCCTACGAGGTCCCGTTAGAGGGCATTGAAGAGCAAGCACAATGCGCCAAGGTGCCGGACCATCCGGTGGAAGGCGTGATGGTCTAAGGTGGCCTGCAGACTCTGCAGACGATCCGCAAGGGTTTCAGCCTCTTTGGCAGACCAGAAGCCATCTCCATCCAAGTCCAATTGTCTCCCTCCGGCTGCCCTGGCTGCCAGCGTCAGAAGAGGTGGGAGACAGTCCCAGTACCCAGCTCCTTTTAAACTTGTCGGCCACAGGATCCCCCACAAATCGTGCCTGTCCGAGTCCATCCTCCAGCACGTACCGTGGAAGAGGTTTCTCTCGATACTTCCATAGCTTGTCGAAGTGACATCCATCATCTTGAAGGCAATGGACAGCTGCAGGCCTACATTCAAAGAACAGGCACACACTAAACCTCGACCCTAAACCCGAAACCCCAAAGCCTAAACCCTTGCTGCATGCCTACGTTCAAGAACAGGAAGAGCAGCGCGAGGGTGTAGTCCTTGCAGTGTGGGGCTGCCGTTCCACCTTTGTTGACGCGCTGGAACTTGAAGTACAGAGGCAAGTAGATGGCATCGAGGTAAACATCCTCCCCACTCGGGTCGATGGTCCGTTCGTTCCCAGCATCCTGAATCAGCGGAAGAATTGACAAAAGATGTCTGTGCATATTACAAAAGAACGAATCTGCCTGTGTAGTGTCAGCACGGGAGCCGGGTGACTGTTCTTCCTAAGACTTTCGTTATGTGCTGGTTAGGCGAACGAGTCAGAGTTAACATCTCGGAGAGTGAACGAAACGGATCAATGATGTCGCTTGATTGAAGACCTTGCCATTTCCGCCTGCTGCTATCTGCTTGAAGCCCCCCAGGCCGTAAGCCCTAAACCTTCGATTTTATGATACAAAGCCAGGGTTCACGAAACCCCTGAACCTTTCAAGCCATCCTAAGCCCTAAACCCCATAAACCACTCTAAAGCCTAAAGACCCCATGGAAGCCCTAAGCCCGACGTCCCCTGTCCTGTGCTTGGGAGTGGTCGGTATCTGAAGTGACGGCTTGATAGCCCATGAGCACACCAGCCATTTATACTGCGAAATTTGGGGCCCCAACGACAAGATATGCAAATCTACCAGGGCTTAGGGAGCATATCTTCTGCCACTCGAGGTATCCTTTGCTTCCCATGCCCCTGATATTTTGAATCGAAAATGATGACTACATGTCCACTACATTAAGTGTTGACCCCCTGTCGGTTCGACCGCCAACCGACACCTGTTTGTCAGCTTGAGCCAAAGCCGCTTTCAGGGTTTCGTGTTAAAGGTTTGGACATGACTCTGACGGGGATGGGGATGTGGAAGCCATTGTGTGAACGACGACTGTCAATTGATGCGTAAATCTGTCGGAACCCCTCTCTATCACAGTATTTCTCTGTCCCACGAAATGAAGCTTGCAAGGGCTAAGGGTGTGCAGGGACGCTGTACAGTCTGCTCACCGGGGGATTCCCCTCTTTCTGTGCTGCGGATCTGGCTCAAAACCATGTACAGAGTCCATGTGGAGACACCACAGTGGACCCAGCCAAGTCAGCAGGTCGGGGGATTTTCGATGCTGAGAACACACTTTGAGACACTTTGAGCCTACGAGCCAAGGCTCTTGTGTCCCCTTGGGGCTGAAATCTCCTCCAAGGCTTTTCCTTTCGTCGATGGCCGTGAGGTATGCAACAACGGTGATGCCGGCTGTGATTGCAGCGTAAAGGCCGAAAAGGCCGGCTTGTCCTCCTAAGAGACAAAGGCAGGAACAGGAGGCCAAGGACGCACCGAAGCGATTCAGCAGGACACAAAGGCTCATGCCTCTACTGCGAAGTGATGGGAACAGCTCCGAAGCGTAGAGCCAGCAGCAGACCGGCCCAAAGCCAATGGAGAAGAAGGCCACGTACGCAAAGGTGCCGCAAGCTAGGACGCCGATCTCCAAGTCGCGGCGGAAGCCGAGGCCGACCAGCACAAGACTCACCGAAGATGAGCAAGGACGCCGTCCCACTGAATCTAGGACAACCACGGAAACTCCAATGAAAATCACCTTCACGAGGCCCATCGTCACTGTCAATGTAAACTGCTCCTGCTTGGTCTCTGCAACGCCCGCTCGTTCATAGAGAGTGGGTGCATAAAACAGCACGCCTTCCGCACCGTTGATCTGCTGAGCAGGCGCTATGAAGAATGCCAGCCACGCCCTGTAGCGGTACAGTCTCGAAGGGAAGAGGAAACTCTTCCAAGTGCCTGAACTGACTCCAATGTCAAAGTCGCAGGTAATGGAGTTTAAGGACGCAGTTTCTGCTATCAAGTACATATAGAGGGGGATTGTCGTCGTTCCGCCCGATGCGAACCTGGCTGCAACTTGGCAGCACGGCCCGTGATAGTTCTTTTCCTTCATTCGCGAGATCAGCTTCTACATTACCGTCAGTAGCTTCATCGTTGACACTGTCCCCATGATCAGCACAACCATAGCAACATAGATCATCATGCACATTGCATGGTCCTCCTCCTCCTCCTCCTCTCAGCAACATCACCGCCGCCATCCATGTGACCTATTCTGCAACCATGCTTCCATCTTCAACGATGCAAGAGTTGCGTCAAGATCTGCCAAAACTCGGCTAGGCTCGAGCCAAAGCTGTCCGTGGTTCCACAAGTAACACGGAGCACAACTTTCTGTTGCGTGCAGCCGTCGCAGACACTCTAATCCAAGCAGGGGACTCTTCTACAAACGCTGTGAAAAGACTCTTTACACTCAGCATCTTGAGAGCTGAGCTTCTATACTGTTGTACAAATCGTGACGACTGGCTAAGGGAGGTACGTCCGTAACCTTCTCTTAAATCGCCATGCATGGAACTACGTCAATCTGCGCCTGCCCCGCAGAGCACAGTGCAAAGGTCACGTACTGAATCTCAGCAACTCGATTCAAGCAAGCTTTTTCTGCTCTGTTGCGGTCGAAGGCCCTTGTGGTGCCTCGAAGGCGTAACGAGAAGCCGCCTTGGAATCGGCCAGGCCCAATGCATCCCAAAGGGTCCCAGCGTGGGGGGGGTCGCTTCGAAGCGGAGTTCTCGACCTTTTAACACTCGGACAGGCGAGGCATGCGGCTTAGGGCTTAGCGCCCTTAGGGCCTGGGCTTTGAGGCTGAAGGTTTGGGGTTTTGGATTTGGGGAATAGGTTTACATTTTACATTGCAGGGCGTTCAGGCCTTCGGGCTTAGGGCTTAAGCTTTAGGGCTTACGTAGGCGGTGGAGCTTACTACGATGTCGGCGCTCAGGCTCAGGGCTCAGAGTTTATATTCTCAGGCCTCGACGGTTTAGAGTTTGGGCGTTTAGGGATTAGGGTTCAGTGTTTACGCTCTCGCAACTCGGACACGCCTGACGAGGTCTCTGGTGCAGTGTGCTTTGACAGTCGGTGTCTAGGGGCTGCCGTAAAGGGAGTGTTTAGGTTTTTAAGTTTACCGTAAGGGCAGAAAGAACCCGGACTTCATAAAGAACCCCCCCAGCTACATCACAAGTAACAAAGTAACACCCCTCTCTGACTTCCTGTACACTGTACAAACGGTACAAAGCCTGTCTTGGACTAGATCCTCGGCTGGAGCTTGGATCTCTTCTCAGGAACCCAAGCTCTGGCATAGACTCAGACAGACCTCACTTTGAAGCAGAAGCCCAGTGAAGTGCCAGGATCTGCGCAAAACCTCGCTGAATTCCTCGCTTGCGGCTCCTAGGCTGTCACCCATTGCGCCCGCTCCGCGCTGGGGAAGGACTCAATGTGGTCGAACCATCGCTTCAAGTTGGGCGTCTCCGGCACTCCGGACTCACAGAGTTGATCAAAAAGCTCCACGTCCGCCTCTCTTGGAAGACCCACACCCCCAGCCCCAGCCCCCGTTTTAGCGGAAACCCTGAAGTTCCTGCGCCCACCCGGCCTTGCTCGGACTGAAGCCTTTCACGTAAGGATGGCTCTCCAGGAAACCCTCCACGTCCTCCTCCACGGACAGCGACGCAAACCTGTCGCTGTTGGCCTTCCGCAGCTGCAAGGAACCTCGGGCTTTCAGAACATAGAAAAAACACCTAAGGACTATACCTGTCGGGTTCGGTTCGAGTTTCGGGGGAGCCTTGATTTCGAGAACCTCCCACCTTTCTGCCCTTTCTGCTTGGATGCTTCTGGCTCCGGCTTTTTGGTCTCGGGCAGCCGGCCCTGAAACGGCTCGAACTGTCGCAGAGGCTGCGAGCTTGGCATGGCCTCAGAATCCAGCTTCGCAATGAAGTCCATCATGGAGAAGGAGCCCAAAGCCTGCGCGGATTCTCGGGATCTCAAGTTCACTGACAAGGAAGTCTGCTCCTCAGCCCCCACGACAGCAATGTAGTTCCACTGTGCCAGCTGCGCTTCGCGCACCTTCTTGTTCAACGTCTTGCCACTTGTCTCTGCCTCTGCATAGAAGCCATGGATTTGCAGCTGGCGCACCACCCACAGCGCGTACTCACTGAATTGCGTCCCCACGGGCACCACTTGCACCTGCCGTGGTGATAACCAGAAGGGCCACTTCCCCGCGTAATGCTCCATCAAGATTGCCGACATGCGCTCGATGGAACCCAGGATTGCGCGGTGGATGATCACCGGGCGCTCGAAACCGTTCTTCAGGCGACCTTCACGCCACATCACCTCAGGTGTCTGTGCATTCTGCACAGGAGCTCGTTCAAAGCATACTTCAGTCAGGGGCTACCAAGAATGACTGCCAGGGTCAGATGGGCGCGGCAATCAGCACAGCTTTAGTTTTGACATGTCTAAGAGAAAAGCTTGCTCGAGATGCATTGTTCGGATTACCTCGCCCGTATCATTCTTCTCCTCAGCGCCCTTGAACTCCCCATTGCCCTCTTCTTCTGCGTTCTCATCCACACCCTCTGCGCGGTATTGCAAGTTAAAGCGTATTGGCCCATTGAAGTCCAGCTGAATGGTGCCGCACTGGTGCTTCCGCTTCATAGCATCCTGCAATCGGATGTCAATCTTGGGTCCGTAGAATGCCCCATCTCCCGGATTCAAGGACCACTCCCTTCCGGACTGGTCCAGCGCTGCCTTCAGCTGCACCTCGGCGTTGTCCCAGATTTCCTTAGATCCCAGTGCCTTCACTGGGCGTGTGGACAAGGCATAGCTGGCCTCGAAACCGAAGATCTTATACACGAAGTCCAAGAAGTCCAAGGCGCTGGCCACCTGGAGTCTCGCTCGAGGATTCGAAAAGTGGTCCTAGTGAGGCCCTAGTGTGCAGACCCCAAAAGGTGCCCGTCGTGCCCGTCCTCCGACTTGATTTGGTCTGGGCGACAGAAGATGTGCCCGTCGTCTTGCTGGAAGCGCCGCACCCTGGTGAGGCCCGTCAGGGCACCTGAGGCCTCGTTCCGGTGCAGCACACCGAAGTCCGCATAGCGGAGGGGCAGCTCTTTGTAGCTCCGTACCCGAGAATCAAACATGACCTGTGGCGTTGTCCGAATGTCGGATCGATAGGCTTTGCAGACTTTCGTAGTGTGCATTGAGGCTCTGGTTTTGCCCTACTTCTGCATTTGGTACCATCAAGTTTCCTGACCAGTGAAGGGTCTCCGCAGCGTGCAGTTCGCGCGTCATCAAAACAGCTACGTGCTGCTGTCGTGACCTTCTTGGCCGTGCCTCCCAAAGCAAAACGAGAGCGTGGACAGGTAGACCACTTCAGACAGACAGAGAGTACCAGCACGTAGCAATTGCGTAGAAGATCAGACGCATTCTCTTGATTCCCTCCGGAAACTGATAAGATTTGCATTGACTTGGGCGACTCTACTGTGAAGTGGTCTCGTACCTAAATGCGGAAGCTTGCGATGCTGCGCACTGGGTCAAGCGGCCACCATGTGCTTGCTTTCGACTTGTTCGGAGCAAGGACAGAAGCAAGCTCCACTAGACTGAAATAAAGGATGCATGCGACAGAAACTTGATGTCGATTCATCGTTGCTGCCCAGGCACGAAGTGACCTGGGCAATTCATTGGCTTAAGCATCCACTCCTGCGTCTCCACATCCAGGCTGTACATGTCTGACCGGTAGTTCTGGTAATGGCCAGAACACTTAAAGAGCCGCGAATCATACATGTTAGGCGTCACAACTTCCTGAAAGCCGCGAAGACGGTATTCACTGCGCATGAAATCGATGAGCTTGTTGTAGATCCTTGTGCCCATCGGGAACCAGAAGCAGCAACCAGGAGACATCACGGGATGGAACATTAGAAGCTCTTGCTGCTTCGCGATGTTCCTGTGATCTCTTTTGGCAGCCTCTTCGAGGAGTTTCTTGTACTCTTTCCTAAGCTGTCCGGAGCGTCAATAAAATGAGTGTACACAGTCTGTTCTTCCTGGGGCTGTAATCCCTCAGCCCTAAGCTCTGAACCGCAATCCCTTCTGCAGCAGGCCTCGTTGTCCAGCAATCCCTAAATCCTAAACCCCGACCCCTAAACCTCAACAGTGTAGTAGCTGTGTATATGTCGAGAATTCCTCGGACCCATCTTTCTGCCCCAGCTTCAGCAGCTTGTCATTGGGAAAAGCGATTCCATAGAGGCGCTGGAGGGAATCGAGGTTCTGATCTCCTAACCAGTAGGCCGAGGAGTTCTTCGTCACCATGAAAGCCTTAGGCTTCAGGGTCTTGGGATGGGGGGTTCTGTTGGGGTGGGGGGTTCTGGCGTTGGGCATCCAGGGTTGAGCCTTTGAAAACAAAGGCAGGGCTCTTTTCTACTTAAATGTTCGGCAGGGTTTTGTGCTTGAGGGCCTTGGCACGGTTGGTGTTGGGCAGGTGGGGCCCACGGCAGAGGTCCACCAAATCACCACAACGGTAGCAGCTGGTCGTGGCACCATCTGGCACCTTGTTCGTGATCAGCTGAACCTTGAAGGGGTTATCTTTGAAGAGCTCGAGCGCCTCCTCTTTGGATAAGACGCAGCGTTCGAAGAGCTGTGACTCCTTGCAGATCTGCGCCGCATGCTTCTCGATGGCTGAGAAGTCAGCATCGTTCAGCTTTTTGTGTCCATAGAAGCCATCATAGTAGAAGCCGGACTCCAAGGCGGGGCCGATGGTCAGATGACAGCCGAACTCTCGCTCAAGGGCTTGACCCAAGATGTGGGCGCTCGAGTGCCAGAAGACGTCCTGACCCTTTGGGTGATCAAACTTTAAAAGCTCCAGGCGACAGCTGCCCTCTAAAGGCCTCATGAGATCCCAAAGGACGCTTTGCTCAGGATCTTGCTCCTCAACCTCGTCCTCAACGTCTGCCACTACGCACTGCTGCAGGGATTCGACGGCTTCCTTGTATATGACCTTGGCCACCACCACAGACTCCGCCAAGCCTTTGGAAATGGACATGGCTACATCCATCGGGCTTGTCTCAAAAGCTTTGCCATCTTTCAGTGAGCCGTCAGGGAGCTCGATCTTGATGTCCTTGCGAGGCTTCTCGGCCAGCTCGGTAGTGTACTTCTTGTAAAGCTTCTCCCAGGCCTCCAGGCGACGTTTGATGAAGGGAGCAGCCTTCCGCACTTCGAACTCGCCCTCGAACTTTCCGGTCTCACCAATCCTCGGCCCGCTTCCTGCGAAGGCTCGCTTGCCCGGCGCCGCCATGGGGTCGGGCCGGTCGGGGTCCTTCAAAGCGATGTCTGGAGCCCAGCTTGAGCCTCGTCAAACTCCGCCTGTGAGTATGTTTACACTGTTTACACTGTTGACACACTTTCGCTTGGACTGCTACCAGAAGCTACGTCGCCGAGCATCTGTCACCTGCACATTTTGAGCGGAATGCCTGAGCTCCTGCTCAAAGAGCCGATGGCCTGCGTTTCATCTGCCTGGTTCGGTTCCTCTGAGATTGAGGGCTCCCAGGCGAACACGGGGCATGCAGCAGAAACAGCGATGTCCTTATGGGATCCTTTGCCACCATTTTTGATCTAAGCTCGCGGATGATTCTTTCAGTCGTGACGAGTTCAGGGTTTCTATAAGGGACAGGGGAGGACTTCGAGTAGCTGGTTCAGAGCCAGTCTACACGTTGTACATTGTACACACCTGAGACCTTGGGCACGAAGACGAATGGGAGGATTCAGGATGCAGGAGACCCGGCAATAACTACGCAGGCCTTGGCCGAACCGAACTGGTGACCCTCCCCCCGCGCTTGCAGAAAACCGCGCCGTGCCAAACTATCTAATTTCGTGTCCACAACATGCAACAGCATACAGCTCGAAAGTGCTCGCTTGCAAGCTCTTGATCCAGTACACTGCTGCCTACCATAATGGCATGCGTGCAACTGGTCTGCCCTGTCCACCAGGTTTCACAAAGCCGGTACCAACCTCTTCAAGCCGTGAACTCCACAACTGCTATGCTGCCGCCGTCTGATAGAGAATCACCTTTGGAAACGGTGCCATGGTAGGAACACTCAGGCTCACAAAGGACACTTCTTGCGGCTAACCTCTCATCTTTTCGTCTGCGCCCCTGTCAAGATCCTATGAGACGGCTCTCATGCTGTCTCCTTCCAGGGCCCGGCAGCGACGTCCCTGACAAAATACAAGCTCTCAAGCCCTAGTGCCAAAGACCACACAATGAGTATATGATAGATGTATACTAATACTACGCCTCAAGTTCCTCCGAACGGTTCGGGTGTCACGGTGCAGGCTTTTGCGGAAAGGTTTCTTTCGGCGCTCACATTCGGACAAGGAGCTTGTTCAGGGCTTACGGCATTTATTGGGTGCAAGGCTTAATCAAGCCTTAGGGCTCCGGATTGATAGCTGTAAGGTTTTTCGAAGCTCTGTTCCTTGAAAGCTCGCATGAAAGGAATGGCAGAGGAAGGATCCCACGCACTATCAATGGGAAGCAATACTGCAATGGTGCACAAGCATACCGATCGCACAAACAACTTCTGCGCTCGCTCCAGCCTATCGGCTCATGAATGCTGAATGCCCGTGCCAGCAACCCAGACGGTGTGGTAGCCAAAACCCGCAATGAACCTCCAAATTCGAACAACCCTGAATAGCACCCTAAACCCTAAGTCCTATAAAACAAAAAACCCACTACACAGCTCCTTGGGAACCTCTCAAAAGCCTTTCAAATGACACCCAATACCCTGAAAACATCACCACAGTCACCAGGGCCCCTGACTGGTTGGCATTTCACAGAGCGGTGAAGAATATGTGCCGTTCTGCAGAGGTTGTTGCTTTTTGGGAAACATGGGAATATGCTTTGGTGCACCCAACCTCGAGTTTAGACCTTTGGGTTTGAAGGTGCGGGAAACTTGGGAATGAGGCATAGTTTCGACTCGCACACTCGCTCGATGCAGGCACGGCTTCAGGAGGTCTGGTTGCAAGGCTTTAAGTCTTCTTTGTGTAAAGCTTTGGGCATTCAAGTTTGAAGGCTTGGGGCTCTAGTTCATGGCTCAAGGCTTCGGTTGTTGGGCTTTGAGGTCTCGGGATTCTAACACGTCAAGAAGTGGGAGTGCCCGATACAGTAGCCGTGCTATTTTCTCTCATCCGATCGTTTTCATGCCTAGGGTTTGGGGCTTCTTGTCCCGCCCGCGCCCAGTCGACTGTGTCACACCGCAGGGATCTCGTTTGAATTAGAGCAGACTGGAGTCGCAAGGCAGAACACTTTCTCTGCTTCGAGAGAATTCTGCCTTGGGACTCGGGTTTGCCGTAGAATATCGCATATGCGAAATAATCTAGCGACAGTGCGGTTTCGAGTGTATCGTAGTTGGGCGTTTGGCTGTAAAAGCCAGAACATGGAGGGCTTTCTCTCCGTCTGAAGCGGCCGAGCCAGCCTATTCCCTTTAGGGTTTATCTCAAGACAAGGCAGGGCACCCAGAGAGCAGGACAGGGTGGGCTAGAAGGCCAAGGGCCAGGGAGAGCAGAGGGCCCGCGGTCCAGGCACCTGCATCCCGCATGTGCTAGCACCTTCCAAGTGAACGGGGGGTTTTGGGGAAGTTACTTGGACGGGACCAGCGCTGAGCGCGGTGCGACCACCCCACTTTTTTGGCTGCAGTTAACCGAGTTTGACTGGACAAGCAAGAATTATCTAACTGCATCTGGCGCTGTTGGTTTGGCAGGCATAGAAGCAGAAGCTACTAGTGGGGTAGCTACTCCCCGAGTAGAGTCTTCCGACCAACTGCTCTTGGCTCGCACAAGTGCGGAGATTTCACGCGCAAGCAAGCAGCTGAAGTCTTAAGTAAGGCTTGACACCTACTGCGTTGATGATTGTGCAAATGTGATAAAATGCATTGCTCAAGGCTGTGCTGTTCGGGCCTGAAGAGCAAGAAACAGAAAACGCTTCACATGTACATGTGACGTGAGCTACGAAGGTGGGCAACAGTTCTCAGGAACTCCAACAGGTATATTCCGTCTAATTCTCCCGACTCCTGTATCCGGGAGAGGATGAAGTCGGTGTGAGCTTGAGGCCCCAAACCATGTAGCCCAGGTTGTCGGTTGTCTGCGGCGACAAGGAAGCTGTGGCCTCATGAGTCACAGTGGAATAATATTTGCGAGAAACTCTCAGAAATACTCTCGACTGTTTGGGCTGGGAGTTTCGGGGAACAGGCTTGCACCACAGAGCTGCACGACACCTACCTCCGTCCAAAGCTCTCGACCCTCGAAGTTCCCAAACCCCACACCCCAAGCGTCTCTCTCCTGTTGAAGACACCGAATCTCTCTGAACCTAGTGCCCATTCCTGTATGAGGTGAGCAAGCGACGAGAAACATGAAGACCGATGCCCCCTTCACCAAACCCCAAGACCCTTGAAGTTGCGTTCGACGTGAGGAAACTTCGGGGTCCCACAGCTCGGAACCCAAAGCTCCAAGGCCCCAAGACTGATCAGAAAGAGGCCTTAAAGGCTCGTCGAGCGCTTGTAATGCAACCTGAACTTTCGGCACTCGAGGGATAAGTAACGCACGGCTGCGGAGCGGCTTCGCTAGCTCCCTGTATGGAACAACAAGGACTGGATGCTACTGGGAAGTATGTAGCACTGCAGCGTGAGTCTACAGTCTACACCTGGCGCTTCCGCTGTGAAGCCACAAAAACTAAACGAGCCACAATCAACACTAGGTGCCCGGCGCCAAAACTTGCTGGAGTGCGAGGGCCCCTCATGTTGCTAGTGTGGAACACAAGTTAATGTAAATGTCACAAAGTTCATCATTGCTCCAGTCACACTGGAGTACTGAGCTGCGGAAAGACAAGGCATCAGGAATAGTGCAGAACACATGTTTGGGGATTGGGTTGCGGTTGTAGGGTTTCGGAGGTTCGGGCTTCGAATTTGAGATTTAAAATTCAAGGTCTATAGGCCTCGTAGCAGCTTTTCAATGTCTCCATGGGGAGCGTCAGCGCATCAGATCCCTAAAGCCGAGAACCCCATCACGAACCTTGGCTCCCTCAGTTACCGAAGCCCCCTTTCGGACCAAACAACTCAGCCCAAGGAGCAAACGGCTGCTGCTACTGCTTTGCCAATCTGCTCCGATGCTACTGTGGTACTGCTACGGCTCCGCCTAAGCCTACGCTTACCTCCGTGATCACGAGCGAAAGGGCAGCAGACGAGCATTGTACTAAGCATGGATGGCCTCAGAACAAAATATCTCCTGAGCACCTACAAAGCATCATGGTTTGTACTATCCTGCAGGACCCAGCTGCGCTAGATGGAAGAACATGTACAGGAAAGGCCCCGGCCAAGTTTGAGAGATCTGTTTGAGACGTCCAGGCTTCGGCCTGAAGGGTTCCGGCTCTGGTTTGGCGGAGTGGCTCTCTTTTCCACGCCGGACTGCACTCCGCAGGGGATCGGACTTACACCGCTGACAAATGTTGGTAGAAAGGGTCTTCCACGCCCACTCGCCGGCATCGCCGCCGACGGCTCTGGCGCAAATGCTTCTTGATGCGGTCAGACATGTCCCAAGCCTGCACGCCACCCACGCTAAAATGATCGGCATCAAAGAGATGGTACGCCGATCGCTGGGAGAGCTGGTAATCCCAGGATGCAGAGAGGCCTCTGGCCAAATGCACAAAAACACGAGCCCGAAGGGCCTTATGAGGCCCCAGTGGGGCAACGAATTCGAGCTCCAGCGTGTCAAGGCGATAAAACGGATAGGACAGCGATTGCGCGAGGCTGCGGGGCACAGAGGTGAGGCTCTCAGCGGTGAGGAGCTCAAGGGATGCAAAGTCCAGACAACGTGGGTCGATGGCCACCAAGCCCCGGACATCCAGGCCACAGGTGCAAAGTTGAAGAGCAACGCTGCGTGCCACGGTGACCCCGTAGCTGTGCCCACAAAGGATCAGTTCAAGCCGGGGTGCCAGCCTCGTTCTCCATATCTCTCTCGGGATGAGCTCCAAAAGTGGCCTTAAGCGGTCCGCAGGGCAAAGCGTTCTGCAGGGACTCCTCCACCGAAGCGAACATCTCGAAGCTTCCAAGCTGGAACTGGCCCAGCCCGAAATAAGTCGATGCCGGGCCGACCAGGCGGGCACCTCCTCCAAAGAGAATCATGGAGGTCAGCTCAGTCGCAGCGCCATTGCGGAGCCTCAGTCTCCCGTCTCCCGTTCCGGCCTTGAGGCAGCACAAGGATCCAGCATGCCTCGCCGAAGGCTTGGAGTACGGGATCTTCTCCAGTGAG